TTTTTCCAGTTTAAAAAATATGAGCTGACTGGAGCCTTCATCCCTTGTCTATTTCTTACACTAGATACCAGCCGATATCCCCCCCGCCATAGGGAGTGCGTACAGTTGATCATGATTCCTGGGCTCCCTGTGGGCAGACGCTTGTTTGTAAACAATGACACGCTATGGCCAACTGACGCAAGCGCAGGTGACGACTTCCACGCTTTAAACGTACATTACCTTTAAACGTGCTCGCATGCACGAGGGGATTCGTCGTCAATTGACAAGCCCCTGTGCTAATTGATATGCAATCAGTTTAATGTACCGTGTGCTAAGTTCTTGTGGTAATGATGGAACATCATTTGTAATAATAATCATCTTTATTGTAATCGTGTCCTCTATGGGACTTTATTATAGAATACAATAAAAGTATAGCAATGGAAAAAAAAAAATAAAAGAGTATAAAACAAAGTTATTAATAAAATATAATAAATTAAAGTAAATGTTTTTATTCATTTTGAGGCAGCTGGCAGTACTTTTTTCAAGTTGTTCTCCCTGATTTTAAAACAATCATCTATGTACTTAGCAATTTGAGGAGCTAATTTGTTACAACCATTGTTTAGTATTGCAACTATTTTTTCTTTGTCAGGAAGTTTTGGAGGTAGCATCAAATTTTTGAGAAGCTCATTTTTTTCTTTTTTTTTATAGAGACCGCATTTAAGAAGGAAGTGCTCTTCATTTTCTATTTCGTTTAATTGACAAAACTGACATTTTCTTTTTGAAATGTCAATGTTTTTATGTCTTCCAGTTTCTATTCCTAACACATGAGCTCTAATTCTTAGTTTGGTCATGGATGACCTGTGAAAGGGATTTTGCACAGTTTCTAAATATTTTTCAAAAGTGAATTTTGTTTATAGATGTCTGTATGTGCAGAGTTTATTCTGATGTTTTTTTCCCCCCTTATTATCATCATACATTGAATCTAAACAGTATGTTTGAAAGTTGGCTGTAGTGCAAGCTTTTCAGAGACTGATTTAGGCAGCTTTTCATCCTTGTAATGATTTTCTTCCCAAATGTGACTCATGTTTAAATGAGTCAACAGATTCTTTATACCAGATGTCCAATTATAGATGTTTAAATTAAATTGTAATGACAATCTGTAACGATAACGTAATTTGGTTTGACAGCGCGAGGTTTGAGTTGAACTGAAAAAACAAACGCATTACGAGTTTCACTGATGATGGCGCAACAGGAATTCTGACCTGAGCGACGTCAAGTTCATTACAGGTGTTTATAGTTGACTCCGGGGTAACGCTTCCACGTGCAAAGCCAAAACCAGCTAACAGCAAATACAGAACGCAAAAATTGAAATTGGCGCAAACATCCATAGGATGACGAAAACAGTGACTACATTTTTCAATTATTACGACCGATATTAGCAAACCCAACAGGAGTATATTCCCCACGAACATAACCAAGAATACATAATAGCTATCAGTTATGAGATAATTACCGCGAATATCTAAATAGATTCTAGTCAGTATTTAGATGCCTATAAATGCCGCAATTTACCGGTATTGCGTCTCTGGTTATTTTCAACAGAGACCAACTTCTATATAAACGTGACGTCTAGAAGCGGGAGATAGAAAACATCATGATTCGTTCCATTCTGTGAAGCGTGTTTCTGTGGCAAGATGTATGTAGTCGTGATTTAACACATACCCAAAGATAAGATAGACAGTGAGTGGTACGGTATTTTAATAAACATGTATCTACTAAAGTAAAAAATAAGTTAATTTACAGATATAAACACTTAAAATACGTTTGATAATTGATTATGGTCGTTGATTTTCGTGGATCGAAAAAACATGCATAAATAAAACCATAGTTCAGCCAGAACTCATTACCAACAAAACTATTGCGAATTCTCAAAGAGATAACTTAATGTGTATGAACAAAAAATCGAAACGAAATTATCATATCACCATGCCGTGCATCAGCTGGAACCTCAAAGTACCCAGTGATCGGTGTGTTCACTGACAATACCGTGACGTACACATGAGTTCATGCTGGAGTACGTATTTGACAGAATTTTAAATATTTTACTGTTTACTTACTTTTTTTACCAAATTTTCTGCCAACCGTATTGTTACGGTTATTGTTTTTTGAGGCAGTTTACACGCATAAGAGACGACTAAAATATGTTTGAATTTGTGCGAATAAATAATATCATTGGTACATGAAGTCAATACATAATCATAGCCAGGTGAATGATTTTCATTATTTTGCGAAACATTTATAATTTTTTTTTTCAATTTCTACACTTCTGGTCAGACCATGGCTACCACAGTTTTTAATACATGTACCACAAAAGAACAGCATGCTAACAAGGAGAGGGAAATGATTTGATTCTATAGGGTCAGGGGAACAATATAAAACATTATCATTTTAGAAAACAGCGCCAAGAGTCAACAAATACAATGATTTCTATAGAACCATATCCCCGAAATCGAATAAAGGAATGGGAATCTAATAACCGCATTTTAATACATTTAAAATCCAACGAAAAAAGGTTACATCCGATTCATGAAAGCGTGAATCTTTTCAATATGAAAGGACAACTTGACCAAACACTGACCCAAAACCTTACCGCCGTCCTTGCGAACCCGTTATAATAACGGCCAGGCGATGGCCAAATAAATGAACCTTGGCCTGCGACCGGAACTCTGGTGCGACCTTATGTAATGGTCTTTTTCCTGCATGTCTGAGAGTCCTTCGGGTAAATGTTTTATAAATAATTTATAAATTTCCATTAAAGCCGTTCATGCCTTCATGAAATAGTGTATGATAAAAGTTTAATTTATATTATATTGATCAGACTTTAAATATACTGTGCAAATACGAATAAAAAATAATTTCCGTGACCACTGTTGTTGTGTGTTTTCAATCTCCCAGGTAGAGTTCCATTTCTACGAATAAACGCAAGGAGCTTTGGGAAGGAGAATGGGTGGCAGAGATACTTTCGTTGATCTGATGAAAGCAGTTATAAATACCGCCGAAGAGGGCGTGTTGTTCTTGGCTGATTTTATCCACAGCCGAAGAATCAACTTTATATATGATTTAGCAGTACGAAGCTTGTATCACTGAAACACGAAGATGACGCTTTTTCACAGCCTTCGATTAACTCGGGCAGTTGTCAGTCACTGTAGAACAAAGACATTTATAGCACAAAATGTGAGAACATTTTCAGTATCACACAGTAAAACACTCTTCGTCAGGGGAAATGACACTCAGTTGTCACCGGTCATAAATTCAGGCGAGTATGCATTAAGTTTTCTCTCACAGTATCATTGGGGCGGGACCCGGG